GAATCCACTTTGTCAACAGGACCTAGATCTGTCGACCGCGGCTGGCCTGCTGTGTACGTCGTCGCAACGAACATCGCCATTCGGGAAAATGCGAGCGCCGTATTGGCGCCCACCTCCTAAGCTTACAGGCCGAGCGCCGCGTATGCTGCCTCAAAGCGTTCCTGCGCCTTATTTGGCACTCTAACGGCTCTGGCCGCATCCAGATTTTGGTGATCACTGCCAACAGCGACAAGCATGACCATCCCCATGGCATAGTGCGGCGTACATTTCAGACCGTAAACGCCGGGCAGGTCGAATGTGACCGTATAGGTCTCATTTATCTTGCTTTTGAAGGTTTCGGCTTCTTCGGGGATCATGTCCTTGATGGTTTCGACATTGTGGCCCTTATCAACAGGCACGAAGGTGATCGAGTCGCCAGGCTGAATCTGAAGATGGCCGGGCTCGAATACCATGGCCCCCGCTTCACCTCTGTTCAGCATCTTGACTTCATGGTTGTCGCCCGCTGCAAAGGCGGGGGTCGTAACAAGAGCAGTGCCGATCAATGGCAGAGTCCCGAAACCAACCAGGACCGTACGGCGGTTCATGGTCGTCGGCTTGGCGGATTCTAGACGATTATGCATGGCTTTTACTCGTGAGTGGTTGGACAGGGCGAATATGGATTCTGCTTGGGTCAAGCGCACTCACCCCCGATGACGCGCGGCGATACGTCGCCTTAATCAAATTACTCAGCGACCAGCCTCATATAGCTGCATGAAATATCTGGCTGCTTGCCGGCATTTCCATGATAGTTTGGACCTGCTCTACAGTTTGCCGCAAATCGTCCATGTACTGAGACGTTAACGTCCGTGTCCGAGGCAGCTTGATCTCCAGTGGATCGGCGATCCGGCCGTTGATCTCCAGCTCGAAGTGCAAATGATTGCCTGTGGATCGCCCGGTCGAGCCCACATAGCCGATGACCTGACCCTGTCGGACGCGGGTCCCGGGAGTGATGCCGTCGGCGATCGCGTTCATATGCGCATAGGCGGTCTGATACCCGTTCAGATGCTTGATCTGAACGTACCGACCGTAGCCTGAAAACCATTGAGCCATGTCGATGACACCATCGGCGGCGGCGTAGATCGGCGTGCCGCGTGGGGCGGCGAAATCCGTCCCCTGATGGTCGGCATTTCCCCCGTTGAACGGATCGATGCGTGTCCCCATTGCAGAGGTGAGACGGCCGCCACCCTCCAGTGGGCGGCGCAACAGGAAGCGCTTGCCGCTCTCTCCCTGCTCGTCAAAAAAGGCGACTGTGCCGTCCGGTTCGACATAGCGATAGAAACGGCGCTCGGTATTGCCCAGAGAGATCGCCACATAGAGCAGTTGTTCGACCAGTTCGTCTTCCGGCGCAGCAGTCAGCAGTTCGATACCATCTCCCGGCTGCACGCGACGTGTCAGGTCTGCATCATAGGCAACGAGAGCCACAACCTGCGCAATGACTTCGTCGGCAACGCTATTGCGGCGGCCTGTCTCCCAGATCGATTGATAAATGCTGGGCAGGTTGGCCACATCGATCTGCTCTGTGCTCTCCTCTGAGAAGGGGATGTCCGGCGGCGGTAACGCCACGACGTAGCGGCCCATGTCGGTCAAAGCGACAGTAACTGCATGCCTGTCGCTATTGGACGCGACCTCGTGCCGATAAATGCTCATCCGGTAAGGGACGAGGCCAGCGCCACTGCTTGATGGACCGAGAAGGATACGTAGGCGCGATCCGGCCTCAAGCGTTGAGAGACGATAGAGGTTTTGGATCATCTCCTGCACATCTGCGGCCGAGTTCCGCGTGAAGCCGTTCGCAACCAGGGTGTCAAGCAGCGGAGCATCGGCGTCGAGCTTGATGACGCGTTCGGACACCGCTCGATTGCCTCCGGTGGCCGCCGTTTTGGGCACGACGGTTACGTTTTCAGCCACCCCTACGAGTGGGGTACCGGCGCTCAATGATGCGTCGGCCCCAAAATATGCGAGCGCCACGTCTGGGGCCGCATAGTCGGGCGATGTCAGCGATCCTACGTGAGCAGCGGCCAGGGCATCACTTATAGTCGGCCTAGGCACATAGCCTGACGGCAGCGTCGTGTAGGTGATGCTCACCTCTGCCGAAGGCGCCCCAACAATGTCCGTGCTGATCTGTTGCGCTACCTGAGAGAAGTCGTCCTCGGGCAATGCCTCGATGTAAGTCTCAGGAGAATATACGACGATATCATCCGTCAGGGCGGTCTGGGAGGTGGCCAGGGTTGCGGAGACACGCACGAATGAGGCATTGCGGATCATGCCCGAACCACCGTCACTAGCCAGTACGCTAGCAACGACAATCTCGCGGTCGGAACGGGTCTCCAGCAAGGGACGAGCCCGGCTTGTCTTGCCTTCTGCGGCTGCGGGCGCTGTTCGCCGCTCAACTGCAAGCGATTTGTAGGCTGTCGAGTAGCTCGCGATGTCCGCGAATGAAACATAAAGCGCAGCACCCATCAGAAGAACCGATGTGAGACCCGTCAGGACCGTGCCGGCCAACCAGGCGCCACTCAGTTCTCGCGATCCGGGTTCATTTCCGTCCGCAGAACGCGTGGTTAGTGCGGGTTCGTCGACATAGTTGATCGCGCCAATGCTTAGCCTCTTGAAAGACCCGACACGCGGTCCACTGGCTATCCCCCGTCCTCCCCGCATCCGATCTGTCAGCCCTCAATCATTATTTGCGCCCGCATTTGATTGCATGGAAAAGGGCAAACAATCGGCAGAAACGTTCACGTCCACGTGATTGGCGGCCTGTATGGGCGCATTTGGCGGCTTTCGACACATCTCTGCGCTGAACTGTCGCGCCCTGGGTTGTCACGTCTCTCCGTGGTATTGGCAATTACCGTGATCGGCCAGGATTTCGATGACCCTGCAGATCTCGACCCGACCGTGGGAGGATCCTGCAACCATGCGCTCCAGTTCATGCTGCAGAGCGGTGAGGCTGACGATCTTCTTCTTGACCTCGACGAGATGGATATTGGCAATCGCATCGGCCTCTTCGCAGGACTGATCGGGCGAATCCTGCAGTGCCAGCAATGTCTTGATCTCGTCTATGTCGAATCCGAGCTCTCGCGAATGGCGAATGAAAATCAGCCGTTCTATGTCTTTGCGGTCATAGCTTCGTCGTCCGCCCCCCGTGCGCGGCGGTGCTGCTAGAAGTCCGATCTGCTCGTAGTAGCGAATGGTAGGCACTTTCACCCCGCTGGCCGCAGATACCTTCCCGATTGCAATCCCGTGTTTCATTTTGCGCTTGCTCCTATAGTGACTAGAGGATGTATTCCTTTCCGAAAGATTGCAAGGAGCGGCTGCGATGTCGGCAAATGTTGAGACGTCACGTTTCCGCATGGAAGGAATGGATTGCGCGAGTACCGCCGTGCGGTGCCTGCCCGGCGTCGAAGAAGTCTCGGTTCCTGTCGCGGGCGCGTTCATGACGGGAAAGCACAAGGATTTGGGCGTCATGGCCAAAAGGCGCACGAGCCTCGGCTACAAGACGGCGCCTCTGCCGCCTTGCAATCCCGGCAACACGCCGCAAGTGACGGCAGACGACCATTCCGGTCATGACCACGCGGGCCACGGTCATGGCCCGGGGAAGAAGCCGAAGCAGGCCGATGCCTTGTCCGGTATGCACGGCCACGACAGTGGCTTCGTGGGCGGCCCCTGGAGGCAATCCACCAAGCCAAAGCTAACGATCCTATACGCTGTCGCCATGCGCCTCCTTGCCTGGAATGGAATCGGCACCCGCGCATGAGACCAATAGTGCCTTATTTTGTTGTGGTCTGGCTGATGGCGATCGATCTGGCCTCCAGAACGCTGGCGGTGGAACTGCTTGGGGCGATCGACGGCTTCCGTCTTCCTCTGCCCGGCGTAGCGATAGACTATATGGTTCGCCCCAATGCTGGCCTACCGATCTGGCCGATTATTGCCGTTGCGTTCATTGCCATTGTCGTTCTTATCAGAATTGGTACCAGCGACCGTGTCGCCGAACATTTGGCCGGGTCGGCGCTGCTGGCGGGTGGGGCCGCCAACCTGCTCGAGATATGGCTTAGCGGAACTATAACAACCTTGCTGTCTGTCGGACCGGCCTCCGCGCCACTTTTTCGGCTTAACCTCGCTCACGTATGGATTGTTGGAGCGGTGCTGCTAGCGCTGAGCGATGCGGTCGCCCGAGCCGGCACTAGTCTCAAATCCAGGGAAACTGAAGTGTGACTCCGTTAGCCTTGGCGGTCTTTTGTCGGACCAACTGTGGGGCAGCCCGCAGGGGTGCCCGTCCTGTGCTGAGTTGGCGTCGCGCAACGAAGGGACAAGCCGCCAAGCATCTTTGCGGAGCAGATCTGGACTGGTCAGGATAGACGACTATGAAGAATTCAAAGCCTCCTTTGGCTCTTAGAGCCTTCCACTTAGTGCTCTGGCTCTCGGTTCTTGCCGCGATGGCGTATCTCATCGCCCCTAGTCTGCTGCAGCGCCTGCCGTTTTCGGCGGTGGTGAGCGGTGAGCGCGCATCACTGGGCTGGCGAAAAGCCTCGACGCTGTGACAGCGATGGCGAAGTCCCGCTTCATCTATTTCGCGAAAGTGCCTCTTGAGGGTGGTAATTCCACCATGGACCACAGCGCCAGCATCTATCTGACAGATACGGAGGGCGACTTCGTGGGCACCCTGGACGATCAGGAGCCTTTCGAGATCCGGCTTGGAAAAGTGCGCAAGCTCCTCGATTGAGCGACGCCCACCACAAGGCAATGGAGCGGATGGCGGAAAATAGGCAATCGCACTTCGATGCGGTGATCGTCGGCGGAGGACAGGCAGGTCTTGCAGCCGCCCGTCAGCTGATGGACGCCGGGCTGAAATTCATCGTCCTCGATGCGGGGAACGAACTTGCGATTCGTGGAGGCGACGATACTGCGGTCTGACGCTGTTTACGCCGCGAGGCTATAGCGGGCTGGCTGGAATGAGGATGAGCGGGGATCCAGATCTCTATCCGGACAAGGATGAATTCGCCGACTACCTCAAGGCTTATGCTACGCGTTTCCGCCTGCCGTTGCGGCACGACGCAACTGTCCTGTCCGTCACCCGCAAAGATGGGAAGCAATTCGTGGTGTCGGGAACCGGTTTCGACCCCGTCACAGCCGCAGCTGTCGTCGTGGCAACTGGGGCGTTCCGTGATCCAATCGTTCCGTCTTGGGCCTCCGAACTTCCGCCTGAGGTGCGCGCACTGTCCGCCGAGGTTTTCGGCGATGGAAACGACCTTCCACCCGGTCCGTTGTTGGTCGTAGGCGATGGTGCAAGCGGGCGGGACATAGCTATGCTTGCGCGACCGAAACGCGACGTGGTGCTCGCCACCGGACGGTCGAGGCGGCTCCTCCCCGAGCGCATGTTGGGCCGAAGCCTGTGGTGGTGGCTGGATGTTACGGGCCTTGTGCGGGCGCCGACGAAATCCCTGCGCGGCCAAACAATGCGGCGGCCGATCCATTTCCTGACCGCGGTCGCCGGCTTAGCGAGCTGGCTGCTGCCGGGGTTCAGATCAAGCCGCGAGCAACGGGCGTCGGCGCCGGCACAGTCCGTTTCGCGGATGGGTCATCGATGCTGCCCGCTGCAGTGGTCTGGGCGATTGGCTATCGGCCGGATTGGTCATTTCTCGATATTAGAAACGCATTGGGGGAAAATGATATTGTGCTTCATGACAACGGTATCTCCCCCGTAGACGGTCTCTATTTTGTGGGACTGCCGTGGCAGCGGAACCGAGCTTCTGGCCTCGCGATGGGTGCGAGCATAGACGCTGCCGTCATCGTCAATCGCCTGCTGAGACAACATCTTGCTTCGGATAAGTGAGCGAGTAATGCGGCGGGTGTGTAGGCATCCACCATGCCAGCATGAAGATGATGAGCAGCGCGCACAGGGCAAAAAAAACTAAACCAAAAACACGCAAGACGCACCGCCAAAACTGAGCGGTCCACCTTGACCGTCGGCTGGCGGCCTCACAACGCCAATCCCTTCAAAGCTCGGTGATAGCAGAATCGATTGAACTTGCCTGGGGTGTGGAAATTTGACGGCTCACACTTGGTTTCGACTGTATATTTGCAGAGCGCGAGACCGGTTCCGGTTGCGACCTTTGATCACCTTGCCCAATAGCAAGACTGTGAAACACTTGGGCAGGTAGGATAAGTTAACACATTTTTTGAAGGAGAAACCGCTATGCACAATCTATCTGGTATTGAAAAGGGAATGAGCGTACTTGGAGCCGACGACGCGCCAGTGGGCACCGTGGCTTCAGTTGACGGAGATCGCATCCGGCTCGAGGTGGTCGACAGCGGCACGCATACGGGCCACAAACACTACATTCCCGGGGGCCTGGTCGCCATCGTGGAAGGCAACATAGTGCGGCTGTCAGCGACAGGCGCCAATGCAGTCCTGCTGGATGAGGAAGAAGACGGCACCCCCGCCGATTGATCTTTGCTTAGCATTCAGCAGATTGTAGATATCGGTAAAGTTTCGGCACCGATCAGTTGCACTAACGCGGGCGGCTGGAAATCACGGGACGTTGAGTTCGTGTGGTTCAGAGAGGGCTGTCTCTCACCATAAGGGCAATTGATGTGTTGTTGGCTGGATTGGCCAGCTAAGCAAGACTGGAAAGGTTGCTTTTAAAAGTTGAGGGTCGGATGGAAGTGCAGCGGATGAACAGGTTCGGGCTGCTGGCGGGTATCGTCCTGATCGCGATGGTCGGGGGGGCGACGGGTGCTGTTTTCACTCGGTTGGTCCCGCCCGTCATTGATGAAGAGCGGGTGTTAAGGATCGTGGACGAGAGGCTGGCCTGGGACCGGCAAACCCAGGAACCCCTAGACGCCAGTATCGAGTCTTACCTGCTGGCTAATCCCAGGATACTCGAACGCGTGTCAGAGGCTCTGGTAGCTCAGCGTGACGCCGAGCAGCGCACGAAGGATAAGGAGATCATTGAGGCAAACCGGCAGGCGCTGTTCTATGGTCTGGGCAGCGTGATCGTCGGTAATCCCCAGGGTGACGTCACGCTTGTTGAGTTCTACGACTACAACTGCGAGTACTGCCGCCGCGCATTCCCGGATTTGGTTGAATTGATGGACGCCGACCCCGATCTCAAGGTTGTTCTCCGACAGTTTCCCATCTTGTCGCAGGGATCGGTGGACGCAGCGCGCGTGGGAACTCTCGTGGCTGAGGCGGGCGGTGATTACTGGACGTTCCATCAGGAACTGTTCACGGCGCGCGGACAGGTGGACCTCGAGACCGCGCTGAACGCTGCAGTGTCGATCGGGCTCGACCCCGAAGTGCTTCGGACGCGTATTGAAACCCCGACTGCCGATGCGCCTCTCGCTGAATCATTCGAATTGGCGAGGGCGTTAGGCGTCACCGGTACGCCTACTTTTGTCCTTGGCGATGAGATTATACCAGGCGCTGTAGGTACTGAGGCGCTGCGCCAGAAAGTGGCGAACGTCAGAGAATGCGGTAGCACCGCATGCAGCCCCTGAGACAGCCATGTATGCTTAAAGCGCCACGGAGAGAAGATAGCCAGATACCGAACACTAAGCATGATGCGCGACCGCAGGTGCGGTCGGACGAGCAGGACTACGGATATGGCGAGTACCTTGGCTCCAATACGGAGCTAATATTCTCTCTGGCGGCGGCATCTTCTTCGGCGCTGGACCAGTCGGCGACGACGTTCTTTATCGTCGCTCAATTCTTGAGCGGCTACTTTATGGCTCGGGAGAGGGATGAAAGCCTGCGTCATGGGCGCATGCCCATCGAAACTTTGATGATCGAGCCGCTGCCGGCGCGCTGATGAAAGGCGCGTTCGTGCTCTTCCTGCTTAGCCTCCGCCATCCGCCCACGCAGTATGACGTGGGCAGGCCAGGAAAGCAATCGAGGTCGTGTGGGACCAGCCGCTCGGGCTGAACTCCATCAAATCTTGATGATCGAGGCGGTCACGTACATGAAACTGACCCCAACGAGGAAGCCGACGATCACCGGGAGGGACAGCAGCGTGCCCCTGCCTCCCGCGCTCGATCTCGTCATGTAGGCGGTGACCTCGACGATCACTTGCGCGATGGCGCCGGCGCCGATGCCGAGGAAGAGCGCCGACCATTGCGGCGCATAGGCCAAGCTGCCGATCCAGATACCCACCACGGCAGGGGCACCGGCCAGCAGCGTCAGGGCGGCGAAGCTCCAGAGCGGCGGCCTTGCCTTGAGGATCGGCGCGGCGATTCCGATGCCCTCGGTCACG